GGGCCTCTCACTGTTGTGGCCTCTCCCATTGCGGAGCACAGGCTCCAGACGCGCAGGCTCAGTGGCCATGGCTCACGGGCCCAGCCGCTCTGCGGCATATGGGATCTTCCCGGACCAGGGCACGAACCCGAGTCCCCTGCATTAGCAGGCAGACTCAACCACTGTGCCACCAGGGAAGCCCTGTGTACATTTTTAAAATAATTCATCAAAGAACATTCATTTCTAATTAGCTGTGTCTCATTCCATCAGCATTTCTCTTTTAGGACAGAACTGTACTAAATTATATACTGGTATTAGCTGCTATATTATGATCAGAAGTTCCCATGTGCCATGACTATATAATTTGACGTAACATTCTTGGCTACTCTTAGAGTTAGTTCAAACTCAACTATATTCATTACTTAGAATAAAGTGAAAAGTTTAAACCAGAAGTTAAGATAAACAAATCTGTAGTTTGTTTTGTTGTTTTGAATGTTGACCAATATTTTTTATTGATCTAGTCCTTTTTTCTTGTTTTTTTTTTTTTTTTTTTTAGGTTTTGTTCCAACTCTGGGTGGCACAGAGTTCAGAGTTCTTCAGGCGGTTAGCCCTGTTACTTTCTACGGCTAATTCACCTCCTGGGCCCTTACTTACTCCAGCACTTTTGCCTCATCATATTCTATCTGATGTGACTCAAGGTCTACCTCATGCTCATTCTGCCTGTTTGGAAGAGCTTAAGCGCAGCTATGAGTTCTATCGGTACTTTGAAACTCAGCACCAGTCAGTACCCCAGCGTTTATCCAAAACTCAGCAGAAGTCAAGAGAACTGAATAATGTTCACACAGCAGTACGCAGCTTGCAGCTCCATCTGAAAGCATTACTGAATGAGTAAGTTTAGAAGCCATGTAAGAAAATGTCCCCATGATTAGCAAGCTTCAGTCTTGTGCCATTGTGGTCGTTGGCTTGTGTCCTAGCTAAAAAGCAGCATCAAAATTGAGACACGCAGCCTAAACGATGGTTTAAAGGTACAAATGTAGCAGACAAACAGTGATTTGTAAGTACTGTAATTTGGGGGAGCCATTTATAGTTTTTACTTTACCTGATGTCAACAGAAAACCTAGAAAGATAGGACAAAAGCAGAGAAGTATTATTACATACAGTTGATGAGAAAAATATTGCTGTTTTTCTGAATAAATCAGAGCAGGTTTGGACATTTTTCTATAGCATAGAACAAGTTTTTTGGCCCCAGTTGAATAATAAAAATGTTGAATCCATAGTTTATATTTGTTGATCTTCTACTTTGATACTCCACCTTAGTGAAATGTAGGGTCCAGTCATTTCAGTGAAATTTTTCTGTAACAGATACTCATAGTATAGGACTGGATCAAATGAATGATTGGGTTCATGTTGTAATCAGGGGAAGGTCACAGGAATTTAATGAGTTGAGAAGGTTGTAGTTGATGTACTTGACCCTGGATACCAGGCAAGAGGTAGAAGGGGGAGGGCAGCAATTGATTTTGTAAGATAAGAAAATGGGCCAAAAGGACTTGAAGTCTCAGTAAAATCAAAAAGCTAATTTACTGCAGTGAAGAAGGAGGTGATGCACAAGGATGGGAAATTAAGTTCAGAAAGACATTTTAAGAAGAGAAGTTTTTACCCATCAGTTCAAGGTCTGAGATAGGTATTTAAGTTTGATGTAAAGATTACAGCATAGGGTAAAACTAAGAAACTGTGAGGCAGGGATGTTCCAGTGGTCTGTTGCTGCCGTTCTAAGAAAACCCTGTCTCCCACAGGAAATAATGGGAGAAAAGGCAGTCTCCACTTGAGTGGGTGGCAAAAGTTGGATCATCATGAGAGGAAAAAAAGATTTCAGTGGAAAGGTGTGTTAGGCAAAGCCAGGGTCTATAAAGAATTAATGTTTGGCAATAGAATCAGAAATATACAGGGCGTAATGGAATGCATTAGCGTGAGGGAAGGTGGCTCGAGAAGGAGGAGTGCTACACTGGATGGACATGAAAATGATAAAGAAGAGCTTTTTACCTTGGTCAGGGATTATGGATGATGCATGGGAAGTATGTTTCCTATTTAAAAATGAAATATTCTATGTGTGCTACTACATGTCACCTTTCAAAATACTTTCACTAGAGAGCAAACCAGTCACAAACCATCATATCTGATTTGCCCTTTAGCACTGCCACACACAACTTTTAAAAGTGTTATCTAAAAAATTTTGTGTTTCATCCCTCCCTCTCGCTTGTCCCCTTTGCTATTCCCACTCTCGCTTGCCTACCCTAGAACATTAATCCTTTAACTGTTCTCCTGGCCTCTAGAGTGCAAGATTAATGTTTCTGAGGCATATATATGCTTTCTTACTTATCTGAAAATTTTCACTGATTTTGGACTATAACAGCTTAGACTAAAGTCTGTATAAAACATTCTACAGAAAGGGTTTGTCATAACCTGACTACAGGCTGCTTTCTATCTTTATTTCTCACTTCTTTCCTTCAGTCCAGCCAAACTGTATAAATGCCTTTCCCCATGTACCATCTAGAATGACTTTCCTCGTCTTCTGTACATGCTCCGATTTTATCCATGCTTCAGTGCTGCCATAGAAGTACCTCTTCCTTAGCTGTTCCCTGTCTATACCCATAGCTGGTAGTAACTTCCCCCTCTTCTGAATTCTTATAAGCCTGTCTTTATCTCTCAGTCATTTTGTGCCTGGATTTAGCCCAGCTTCACAGCTTACCAGCTCTGTGACCTGGGCAAGTTTCTTCAACTCTCTAGACCTAATTTAGAATAGAAATAAAATGTTAATTTTAATTTTTTATGATATTGTATTGTATATGTATAATTTCCCTGATTTGGTTTAAGTTTCTTATAAGTAGGAAATGGGTTTAATTTATGCTTTCAGTTTGTAAAATGCCTGGTATGTATGCAAGAAATACTTGTTGAATAAATGTATGAATACTCTTTATAAGCTTTTTTAAAAATTGTGGTAAAATGCACATAACATAAAATTTACCATTTAACCATTTTTAAGCATACAGTTAAGTGGCATTAAATACATATATATTGTTGTGCAACCATCACCACCTTCCATGTCCAGAGCTTTTTTCATCTTATAAACTTATTTCTTAAATCAGCCTTGCAAATTATACATTTCAGTTCGTAGTTTAGAAATCTGTTGCTGTTTTTCTTTATTACTCAGGGTAATAATTTTTGAAGATGAACTTGAAAAGCTTGTTTGTACTAAAGAAACACAAGAACTAGTGTCAGAAGCTTATCAAATCCTAGAACAGAAATTAAAGTTGATTCAGCCCCATGTTCAAGCGAGCAACAATTGCTGGGAAGAGGCCATTTCTCAAGTGGACAAGTTGCTACGAAGAAACACAGATAAAAAAGGTACCTATGAGAGAGTTCTTTTGTGTACCCTTATCAGATATGCTTATTCTTCTCTGGTAAAATTTTATTAGGTGTACTTCTTATCTATGTGATGAAACTGACTTGACAAAATTACTTAGTTTACTAAAAAAAAAAGTTAATTTATATGTACAAATTGACACTGAATATAAAGTCTTGGCTCTTATTTTTGTAAATAAAAAATGAATATGCTTTGAAAGTTCCCTGAATCATATACCTCCTTTTTAAAAAATTTAATTAAACAAATAGATTTTAATAATATTATTCCATTATTAGGACTTCCAGAAACTCTTTTCCAGTTAGGGTAATAATGAGTTTGGTAATCAGGGGCCAGAAATTGAGTTTACTTTTAAGATAAAATACTTCAGTCATTTAAAAATAGTATACAAGGGCTTCCCTGGTGGCGCAGTGGTTGAGAGTACGCCTGCCGATGCAGGGGACACGGGTTTGTGCCCCGGTCCGGGAAGATCCCACATGCCGTGGAGTGGCTAGGCCCGTGAGCCATGGCCGCTGAGCCTGCACGTCCAGAGCCTGTGCTCCGCAACGGGAGAGGCCACAACAGTGAGAGGCCCGCGTACCGCAAAAAAAAAAAAAAAAAAAAAATTAGTATACAAATGCTATGTTAGCTGGTACTGCATATTTGTTATTAAAACGAGTCATGTACCACAGTGTTCATTGCAGCACTATTTACAATAGCCAGGACATGGAAACAACCTAAGTGTCCATTGACAGATGAATGGTTAAAGAAGATGTGGCACATACATACAATGGAATATTCCTCAGCCATAAAAAGAAATGAAATTGAGTTATTTGTAGTGAGGTGGATGGACCTAGAGTCTGTCATACAGAGTGAAGTAAGTCAGAAAGAAAAACAAATACCGTATGCTAACACATATATGTGGAATCTAAAACAAAAAAGGTTCTGATGAACCTAGGGGCAAGACAGGAATAAAGACACAGACATAGAGAATGGACTTGAGGACACGGGGAGGGGGCAGGGTAAGCTGGGACGAGGTGAGAGAGTAACATTGACATATATACACTACCAAATGTAAAAGAGATAGCTAGTGGGAAGCAGCTGCATAGCACAGGGAGATCAGCTTGGTGCTTTGCGACCACCTACAGGGGTGGGATAAGGAGGGTGGGAGGGAGATGCAAGAGGGAGGGGATATGGGGATACACGTATGCATATAGGTGATTCACTTTGTTATACAGCAGAAACTAACACACCATTGTAAAGCAATTATACTCCAATAAAGATGTTAAAAAAAAAAGAAAATGTATTAAAATGTGCCGTTATTTAATAGGAACATCGGAGTGCCTTGTACTTGTAAAAAGGCAGTCTTGAAACTTTTGGCAAAACTGCTTTCCTTTGGACCCAGATTTTATACTTGTTTTTACTAATTTCACTAATTCCATTGTAAATGGTTGACATATTAATCTTTAAACTTATGCTACAAGTCAATACCATGTTTATCCCTTGGAACCTTATTATGAGGTTCATCAGACTTATGTATAGAAATTGTATTGCTGCCAAAGGTCAGTAATGCTTTATCATCCTGTTAGTCATTGTTTTGTTTACAGCTAGATCTGTAATACTTTAATGTCTTAAACAAACTGAGTAAGTCCTTAGTAAAAGTATTAACTTTTCTCAAAGGAAATGTTAACAAGCTAATTACCAATATACTACCAATAGATTTCCTTTATATCTCAAATGTAAATGGTGAATAATTCTTTCTCCAAAGGATAAATTTGCCAAGAATTTTTAATATGTGCAAATATTTATACATATTAAACTTTTTGATATGACTCTAGAGCTTTTAAGTGTATTTTCCAAAATAGAAACACTCAGAAGACCACTGGGTGTTAAAAGATGTATCTCATTCACCCCTCCCTTAGCATACTCTGAGATGTTGAATCTTAGTCACTCAAACATGATTGTTAAAATTGTCTCCAAATCATTGGACAGATGATAAGCCATTTCATGATGTCCTCTATGTATGTGGCTTTTGCCCATAGGTGATAATGACATGAAGTAAGATACAAGTATTCACAAACTTTTCTCACTAAAATGCCCATAGTAGCCTTGGCTACACAACTTGAAATAAAACTGTTCGTTTGAATTTTTTTAAGAAGCAGGTGCTTTTAGTTAGCCATATCTTTTTTTTTTAGTTATTTCAAAATTATAGGAATATCACGAGAATATTAATTCTAAGTACCATTCATCCAGATTCCCCAGTTGTTGACATTCTACCACATTTGCTTTATCTCTGTGTATCTGTCTATAAATTCTTTTGGTGGTATTATTCTGAACCATTTGAGAGTAAGATACAGACATGAAACCCCATTACCCCTAAATACTTCTGTTCACATTTTTGAAAAACAGACATTCTTTTACATACCCGTAGTATGCCATCAAAATCAGGAAATAGCCCAAGGCTCCTTCAGCTGATGAATAGGTAAGCCATTATATCCATGCATATGATGGAATACTACTCAGAAATAAAAAAGAAGTGAACTACTGATACATTAATAAGATGGAAGATGCACTATGCTAATCAGAAGCGTACAGACTCAAATCACTACATACTATATGATTCCATTATATGACATTCTGAAAATGATAAAATTTAATAGGAACAGGAAACATATCAATGGTTACTAGGAGTTGGATATGGAGGGAGGAATAGGGTATAAAGAGGCAGCATAAGTAAATGTTTTGACGTAATAGAACTACTCTGTATCATGATTGTGGTGGTAGAGGTGATTACATGACTCTAATTTGTCTAAACTCATAAAATTGTATATACAAAAAAGAGTGAATTTTATGAGTGAATAAAATAAATTAGCTTAAAATTTTTTCACCCACTAGTTTTAGCATACATTGATAGTTCTTGCTTGAATTGGGTATTACTGTGATGGTTGCCAAATGGTAATTTTCTACTTCCATTTTCCATTTACACTTACTAGTTGACACTCTATTATAAGGTTAAGCATTGCCCCCGCTTTCCACTTATTTACTTATTTATATCAGTGTGGATATATGGATTCTTATTTTATTCAGTAGATCATAGTTTGTTACTTTTATGTTATATTGTTGCACAGGTTGTCCAAAGTTTGACCAGAGGGAGCCCATTCAAGGTGATTCGTGTCACCATCATTCTTTGAGCACTTCTTTACTTTGTCTCATACTTTCCCTGCCTCCAGCCATAATATCAGCCTTGTCTCCAAGAAGCCCTCATTCCTTTTAATGGAAAATGACATTTAGAAACCAAGATCTAGGTGCTGGGTATGCTCAGAACCATTGGGATGTTACTTCTTTTACCACTTCTTAGTGTACAGAGCTGTGAAATACATCTGTGTATATACATGTATACACTCCATCTCTATTTCTGTATCTGTCTATTCATATATGTTGTAAGTCATGAGTTCATACCAATACCTCCAATTCAATTCTAATACCAAATAGTTTATTCTGGCCTTCCCCCCTCTATATTTGTTCCTCCCTTTTGTGATTATGAGAAGCTTGGCTATCATTAGTTTCAATATATTTACTTATTTACTCAATCCTTTGTATGTAACCAATCGCCTGCTACTGTGGGCTAAGTCACATTTCTGCTGATTCACACCTACTGAAGGTTCTTCCCACCCCAGCCTAGCTTGCTTTGACCACACCAGCCCATGCCAGCCGAGAATCCCCCCAGCTCTGTTCCCAACCATGTATCTGTCATTACTCTTGAAAGGTAAAAACCTAGAGGCTTAACCCCTGCTTCTTGAAAGTAGAGAGATAATGATAAAAGATAGAGAGCTGGACATGAGGCTAAGTAACCCCGAGATTAGATGCCAAACACCAATTTTAAATAATTAAAGTTAAGCTCACCTGGGTGATCTTTGCAATCTATTTACTTGTGAAACTCATTTCCAGTCCTAACTGCTCCTGAGAATAAAAATAGTATAAGCGAAGTACAAGATCAAAGTTTGCTTTTTGTAGGGAACAGAGGGTCTGTCTTGAGCCTGTTTCTGTGCCATGAACAAAGTTGATTGTTCAGCGAGTATTTAGAGTACCTACTGTGTGCCAGATACTATGGTAAGGTGAAAAAGGGAGAGAAAAAACAGGTTTTTCTTCTCCAAGAGTTTAACTTAAATTGTAAGTCTATAGATATTACTTTTGTTAACTTTAATAGATGTTCACTCATTTCTGTGTTTCTTTTTAAGGCAAACCTGAAATGGCATGTGAAAACCCACACTGTACTGTGGTACCTTTGATGCAGCCTCCTCTACACATTGCAGACAAGGATCCAATCCCTGAGGAGCAGGTAAGGGTGAAAATTGCTTTTTTTTCCCCTAAAGAGTTTCACGTACATAACTTACCTGCCTTTCTCTGTAAGTGACATGGATAAGTTCACGTAAGTTGTTGAATTTATATTTCTAATGAACTTCAAAATCACAATACAATGTCTTGAATTTATATCATATCATTAGTTCTTAGTGCCTTGAATTTGGATCCATTGAATCTACCCACACATTTTCCTGTTTATATCTAATTGTCCATTTTTTAAATACTCAAAAGTGATGAAATGCATTAAAAATCGGTGCATTAGCAAAGGTACCTTCTGGGATGCTGGAAATGTTTTTATCTTGATCAGAGTGGTGGTTTACCAGTACCTGTGCCTATGTAAAAATCCTATACATTTAAGATTTGTGCATTTGGCTGCATGTACGTATGTTATACCCTTTATAAAATACTTTTTTAAATGATTGTGTTAGTTGTTGACAACAGATTGCTCATTCTGAAGAAGGCTTCTTTTCCTTAGGTCATACTGTCTATTCAGTATTCTTAATTGCAAAGGGAGACCAACCCTACTTAGTTTAACCTACAAGAAATTTGTTTAAAAACATTACATAGCTGACAGAATATTTCAGAGGTCCAGATAATCAGGCTTGAAGCAGGCTGGGGTAAACAGCCAAAATCACTCAAAAGAACTGTTCCAGTGGCAACATCACTGCTAAGTCACTGGGTGCAGATGTTGCCACTTGCTCCATCAGTGTTGAATAATGAAAACTATCTTCAGAACCTCTTCCTCTGGAAACTTGATCTGCCACCATCCTTGCCGGAATGGATTCCTCAAAATGCCTATTTCTTTCTTTTTTTTTTTTAACACCTTTATTGGAGTATAATTGCTTTACAGTGATGTGTTAGTTTCTGCTTTATAACAAAGTGAATCAGCTATACATATATCCCCATATATTCTCCCTGTTGCATCTCCCTCCCTCCCTCCCTATCCCACCCCTCTCGGTGGTCACAAAGCACCGAGCTGATCTCCCTGTGCTATGCGGCTGCTTCCCACTGACTATCTATTTTACATTTGGTAGTATGCCTATTTTTTTAATAACAAACTTCTGAATCAGATCTGATCCAGGTACACCCGATTAAAGGATCTCAACCCATTTTCCTTAACCATAACTGCAAGGGAAGCTGAGTAGGCAAGGATCCTACCCTCTCCCTTAGAGATAAGGAGAACCATAAGATGAGGTGTTCCCCAATCCTAGCAATAGTGTTCAAACTTCCTGGGAAGTCAGAAAGAACCACAAATGTCTACCAAAGGAAACTAACATACTGACCACCTCCCCAAACCACCAGCCCTGCTAATTTTGATTGGTTTGACAAAGCTAAAGTTGTAATCTTGACTAGAGCTATAGAATGGTATCAGAGTAGAAAAATAACAATCAAAGTTGTTAAACTTCTTATCCACAACCCTTTTCATATCAGGTAAGTTTTTTTAAGATTTCAATTTATCTATGTTTGCTTTGTTCGCCCAACTGTGCTTTAATGACCTGTGCCAGGAGTCCTCATTTTTTTTAATCTTGGAGATCAATAGGTGCAAGTAAGTGAATTATGCTACTAGAAAACTGTCCTCGTGAAGTACAGTGCTTTTTCTTTTATTCATTTTCAGGAGTTAGAAGCTTATGTAGATGATATTGATATGGACAGTGATTTCAGAAAGGATGATGTTTATTACTTGTCCCAAGAAGACAGAGAGAGACAGGAGCGTGAGCATGAAGAATCCAAGAGGGTACTCCAAGAACTAAAATCTGTGCTGGGATTTAAAGCATCAGAGGCAGAAAGGCAGAAGTGGAAGCAGCTTCTATTTAGTGATCATGGTAAGCACTGACTTCAGAGTAAAACATTATTTCAATGTAAGGGATTCTTTTTTCTTGAACTATAAATCTTATTTTAGGTATAGAATTCTTATGGTTTTAATTTTAGGGATCCACCAGTAAGTATAGTACTTTTTCTTCTAGACACAAAATTAATTTGATCAATAAAAGAGTGGGTATATAATCAGATTGGGAATACGAAATTAGACTTTTTCATTGGTTATTTGATTTTTTTTACTAAATTTGTTTTGAAATGGGTAGTGAGTTGTGAATAAATTGATGTTTTCAAATTCAGTGAATTTGAGATTCTAAACTCTGTCCTATGTTGATTTTATAATTACTTTAATAAAACACAAAATTAATAACTGTTCACTATTAAAACAAATGAGTTAAAACCTAGGGCCTTAACTATATCATTAGGTTACTTAATTGATCTGAGCACTTTAGTAGATGGGAAGCAGAGATGCTTCTGTGCATGCTGTCTCAATACTTGGATTCGGACAAAGTTGGATGACTGGTAATACCTAAGATTACCCTTAAACTTCTTTATGTTAACCACCCTTCTTTTCTTTACTCGAACTTCATGGGAGGCAGGAGAGGGAAAGAGGGGAAGCTTAGTACTAGACAATATCAAACTAGCTAATTCGTAATTCAGGAATTAATTCCTATGGATTTCTAAGAAGGTAGAGTGGGACTTCCCTTCCATTTTAGAGTATGTGGAGCCTCAGAATCAACTGCCTTCTCTTCCTTTTCTTTTTTTCACTAGAAGTATATAGATTACCTATACTCTGGAAGGCTCCTCCTTGTTCTCTTTTCTTCTCTTAGGAGCCCTACCATCCTCCCTTGTCCAGATGTACACTTCTTGATTTTTTTTTTTTTTTTTTTTGAGTAGGCAAGGATCCTACCCTCTCCCTTAGAGATAAGGAGAACCATAAGATGAGGTGTTCCCCAATCCTAGCAATAGTGTTCAAACTTCCTGGGAAGTCAGAAAGAACCACAAATGTCTACCAAAGGAAACTAACATACTGACCACCTCCCCAAACCACCAGCCCTGCTAATTTTGATTGGTTTGACAAAGCTAAAGTTGTAATCTTGACTAGAGCTATAGAATGGTATCAGAGTAGAAAAATAACAATCAAAGTTGTTAAACTTCTTATCCACAACCCTTTTCATATCAGGTAAGTTTTTTTAAGATTTCAATTTATCTATGTTTGCTTTGTTCGCCCAACTGTGCTTTAATGACCTGTGCCAGGAGTCCTCATTTTTTTTAATCTTGGAGATCAATAGGTGCAAGTAAGTGAATTATGCTACTAGAAAACTGTCCTCGTGAAGTACAGTGCTTTTTCTTTTATTCATTTTCAGGAGTTAGAAGCTTATGTAGATGATATTGATATGGACAGTGATTTCAGAAAGGATGATGTTTATTACTTGTCCCAAGAAGACAGAGAGAGACAGGAGCGTGAGCATGAAGAATCCAAGAGGGTACTCCAAGAACTAAAATCTGTGCTGGGATTTAAAGCATCAGAGGCAGAAAGGCAGAAGTGGAAGCAGCTTCTATTTAGTGATCATGGTAAGCACTGACTTCAGAGTAAAACATTATTTCAATGTAAGGGATTCTTTTTTCTTGAACTATAAATCTTATTTTAGGTATAGAATTCTTATGGTTTTAATTTTAGGGATCCACCAGTAAGTATAGTACTTTTTCTTCTAGACACAAAATTAATTTGATCAATAAAAGAGTGGGTATATAATCAGATTGGGAATACGAAATTAGACTTTTTCATTGGTTATTTGATTTTTTTTACTAAATTTGTTTTGAAATGGGTAGTGAGTTGTGAATAAATTGATGTTTTCAAATTCAGTGAATTTGAGATTCTAAACTCTGTCCTATGTTGATTTTATAATTACTTTAATAAAACACAAAATTAATAACTGTTCACTATTAAAACAAATGAGTTAAAACCTAGGGCCTTAACTATATCATTAGGTTACTTAATTGATCTGAGCACTTTAGTAGATGGGAAGCAGAGATGCTTCTGTGCATGCTGTCTCAATACTTGGATTCGGACAAAGTTGGATGACTGGTAATACCTAAGATTACCCTTAAACTTCTTTATGTTAACCACCCTTCTTTTCTTTACTCGAACTTCATGGGAGGCAGGAGGGGGAAAGAGGGGAAGCTTAGTACTAGACAATATCAAACTAGCTAATTCGTAATTCAGGAATTAATTCCTATGGATTTCTAAGAAGGTAGAGTGGGACTTCCCTTCCATTTTAGAGTATGTGGAGCCTCAGAATCAACTGCCTTCTCTTCCTTTTCTTTTTTTCACTAGAAGTATATAGATTACCTATACTCTGGAAGGCTCCTCCTTGTTCTCTTTTCTTCTCTTAGGAGCCCTACCATCCTCCCTTGTCCAGATGTACACTTCTTGATTTTTTTTTTTTTTTTTTTTGGCTGTGTTGGATCTTCGTTGCCACGTACAGGCTTTCTCTAGTCATGGTGAGCGGGGGCTACTCTTCGTTGCGGTGCACGGACTTCTCATTGCAGTGGCTTCTGTTGTTGCAGAGCACGGGCTCTAGGTGCACGGACTTCAGTAGTTGTGGCTCGCGGGCTCTAGAGCACAGGCTCAGTAGTTGTGGAAGACAGGCTTAGCTGCTCCGTGGCATGTGGGATCTTCCCAGACCAGGGCTCGAACCCATGTCCCCTGCATTGGCAGGCGGATTCTTAGCCACTGCACCACCAGGGAAACCCCCAGTTCTTGATTTTATCCTTCTTTCTTCCCATTGGCCCCCTTTGTAGCCCAGGTCCTCATAAGATTATGGTCGTATATTGTGATAGCCTCTTAGTTGACTTGCATTTTCAATACCTTTTTCTTCTAAGCTATTCTTAGAAGATAGCTTCTAAGTTTTTAGGATAGCTTATATCTATCCTTGAAAGCTACTTAGATTTTTCTCAAACAGCACACTGATAATAGCTCTCTATCTTAAAAACCTATGGTGGTTCCCCCTTTCTAATTGTATTGAATCTAAACTCCTTTTCCTGGTTTCAAGCCTCTCCATCATGAGTTCATCATATCCAATTATATTCCCCACTATTTCTAATATAGATATCTTCCTCTACTTATATCTATCTAATTAGACGATGATTGCTGTTTTTATTAATGAAAAACATACATGGTGATCCCTTTACCAGGAATGCTGTCCTCTCCACCAGTCTCTCCTCCATGAGTCCCCCTCTTACTGCTCCAGTCCTACCACCTCTCCTACCACTACGGACCCTCACACCTGGGGGCACTCTAGTGAAATGAAAGGACATCTTGAGCAGCAAAGCATGTAGTAGATGAAGAACTTCCCAGAAGCAGCTGTAAAAACAGAGTTCCTGAAACTTGCTTGTCCATATATTTATGGCCTACATAAATCAGAGATTAAGAGTATTATATTTTAGACACTGTTTTTTCCTATGCGTTCAATTTTTTTTTGTTTCTGTAATTAAATTGTTCTTAAATAGGGGCTTTATTATCCCCCACAGTATTCATTTAGTAAATTACTCACTCAACAAGTAGATATTAAGATACTGTTTACTGCTGTATCCCTAGCACATAGATCAAGAGACAAAAATCCCCATACTCCTGGAGGTTTATATTCTAACACAGAGTTAACACACTAGTCAGTTGATGCATTATACAGATTACCTGCCCCCATTTAATTAACAATAATCAGGAATATCAATCAACTTCTAATATATGTTGCATTCTTTAAGAATTAGCAGATTTATAGACTAACACTGTACATGAAATCTGAAAATAACATTGTATGTAAACTTATATCCTTTTTTATTGTTTAGTATTTTCTTCATGTGGCTTTAAAATTACCTTCTTGACAGTATGGGTAAAGATATAATGATGAGAGAAATGTATCTCTTTTTCAGGTATGTGTTTTCCATAGTTTACATTTGAAAAGGCAATAATGCTAATTCAGTTTGTGAAAATAAATAAAAAGCTGAAACCTTAAAATGCTTTGCCCATGAAAAATTTCAGTACATCTTCCAGAGTTGTTTTCGTCTCTGCCTACAGGGGTAAAGTCCGAATGGAATTAGAGAGGGAAATTCTACACTGGAACCTGCTGTGGCCATTTTTTTCTGTTGTTGCTGCTTCTCTAGTGGAGTTACTGCAGCTTAGGGACCTGTTTCTTGGAAATGGACATGTTTTACAAAATTATTTTTTAAATAAACGCCAGATCTTCAAGACGTGCTTTTTTTTTCTTCCGTCATGCTTCATAACATATTGTATTGTACTAACCCCTCATAATGGGAGGAGAGACTGCCTAGCAAGCAACCCACTGCCTACTAACATCAAGAGGGGCTAAATAAAACTTCATTTTCCTTGAAAGGACAACTTCTGCCGTATGGATATAATATTTATGTATTACGCTTTGTACAGTAGTTGATCTGGAATGCAGGTTTTATTTAATTTTATATTTTTCTGTGGCATTACAAAATGTGTACAAGTTTTACCTTTATTTTCATCAGGGTCTTGTTAGGTGGTTGGCAAGTGAGTTGAATTGTATGTTGCATTTTTTTCCCATGCTGCTTTAACTTGTAAATATATATGTGTTGATGATAGGATGATTACCTGGATTACTCTTAGGTGTTTGATCTGACATACTAGTGAAAACCATGCTACTTATTCTTTAGTACAGTGGTTCTCAAACTTCAGTGTGCATCAGAATCCAGTGGAGGGCTTGTAAAACACAGCCAGTCCTCACTCAGTTTCCAGTTCAGTAGGTGTGGGATGGAGCTGAAGAATTTGAATTTCTACCAAATTCCTAGGTGATGCTGACTGATGCTATTGGTTCAAGGGCCACACCTTGAGAACCACTGCTTTAATATTTTGAATAAGAGATATGTGAGGTGTTGTAAAATATTCATCAAAACTCCATCTCATTTCATATCTTAGGCATTTTATCTCTTATAAAGTTCTCTGGTTTTATAAATTTACATTGATTTACTGGCAAGTTTTATTTAGCTTTTATTTATTTATTGTTCTTTATAAGAAAAAACTACTGGGAGTTTAAATTAAAGTTTAAATCATTGCTGGGTTTTTAGTTATTTTCTTTCTTTCTTTCTTCTTTTCTTTCTTTTCTTTCTTTCTTTCTTTCTTTGTTTTTTTCCTTTGAAGCTGTGTTGAAATCCTTGTGTCCTGTAGACCCAGTGGAACCCATAAGTAATTCAGAACCATCAGTGGATTCAGATATGGGGAAAGTTTGTAAAAATGATACTGAAGAGGAAAATAATAAACCCTCTACAACCGACAATGAAATAAGTAATAGGACTGAGTATTTATGTGAATACCCTCTAGATGGTAAAAATAAAGACAATTCTGCAAATGAAGTCTTCCTCCAAGGAGCTGAAGAAAGGGTGTATTACCAATGTGAGAGCGAAGATGAGTCCCAGCAGGCTGATGCAGGTGGCCTGGCCCCTGCCCACCCAACCCACGGGGCCTCATCGCAGCCCTCCATCAAGCAGAGGCTGGCACAGCTACAGCTGTCACCGGATTTTACCTTCACTGCTGGCCTCGCTGCAGAAGTGGCTGCTAGATCTCTCTCCTTTACTTCCATGCAGGAACAGACTTTTGGTGATGAGGAAGAAGAACAAATAATGCAAGAAAATGAAAATGAGGTAGAAGAAAAGTAAGAACCAAGATTTCCATTAAGGATTTTAAATTGTTCTTTTTTGTGAAAGTGTTTTAACTTCAAGACTAGATATTCCACTGGAAAGGGAAAATGAGTGTAAGTTTACTATATTTAAAGCTAAGATGTGAATTTACAGGAAGAACCCTGGTTTGAACAGCTGATCTGAAAATAGTAGTTTACCTGTAAATGGCAGATCTTTTAGGAAAATAAGAGAAAGGTAAGGGCTCTTTTGAATAAACTGCTATTTTATTTTCAGCACAACTGATTGATCTTGGAAATTCTTTAAGTATCTTTAATAACAAATGAATTTATCATTTCTTGCCAGAATTTACTACAATAAAATGATTGGGGTAATTCTGTTGCAAGAATATTAACATTTAGTATGGCTCCTTTTTACTGTATTCTTGCAGTTAATGACTGCAGCTATCATGTCAGTAACAAGTTGTTTGTATTTTATTTTTGTTTATACCAGTCTTAAAGATACACGTTCTGAATAAAAAAAATTGAATTCATGCAATTAATGTGTACTGGGGTTTGGAACTAAAATGTAGTTTCAGAATTACTTGGCTTATAACATGTGTCTTATGTTTCCTTGTTCGTATGTGTATTCAGTGGTTAATTTTAAGATTTCTAAATGATCTTTTAAAAAAACACATTGTACCTTTTTAAGAATTACCCTTTCAGTTTTGTGTGTTTATCTTTTTCTGTTCTTGTTGCAATGAAATCAAAGTGGGATCCCTATAGTCTGAGGCCTCATCCTCAACTTTGCAAAAACGTTCCTTTTATCAGTTTGCCTAGAGATAATGGGTGCCATTAACACAAGCAGGTCACCATGCTGCTGATTTCTAGCCTGAAGCTGTACCCTCTCCACCTTAATTAGATTCTGGAAACATCCTGTCGGCTTCCTGGAAAGCATCCTTGTCTCCTTAATAATTTATTTACAAACTACCTCTTAAAAGGGGTTGCTTTCCAAATCGTCCAATCTCATCTGTTTTGTGTTTTGATTACATTTTCAAAGAGTGATATTTCCAGGAGTATATTGTTTTTTAATACCTATAGCTCCTATGCAGTGACATAGTTTATAGACATTATTTGAGGAAAATGTAGGAAAAACTCAATTTATGCTGCTGTCCTAGAAAGGAAGTTGTGAATCTAGTATGCCTTTGGAGTTAAAAAACGCTTTTGAATTCCTGTAACTTAGCACTTCAAGTGAGTAAATTTTCATATACCAAAGGGGATTTTTTTTCAATAATCTAAGGAAATTTATTTTTTATCCTGAGGAAAAAACTTGGTTGTTTTATATGAATAGTAGCGATCCTTCGTACTATAAGTGATTCTGCCTGTTGCTAAATATTCTAGGACTTAACCCATAATTAAGCTCTTAGGAGCAATATCTTAGGGTGGGCCTAGTTTACCACTTAGTTAGCTAAATTTCAAGAAAAAATCTTGTGTTGTAACTGACTATTATATTCTTACATAACAATGCTTAAAGTTTATTTTCATTTTAAATTGCTTAGTTTGCCAGACTCCTTTTTTCCTTGAATTTAGAAGAATTATGGAAAAACTTCATAATCTTTCTCTTAATCTGTAACCTTATATAAGAAGAATTAGAGTTTAATAATTTTTAATTCTTTTATTATATATGATTTTTATTATACCAGCTTAGGGAAAATATCTTCATAGTATTATATTAGTTTTATTTAATGCTTTCTAAGGTGATACTTTTTAATATTGAAAGACTAATTTTAATCCAAAATTCCTAACCTTCTAGTCTGATCTGTTTTATTCACTAGTTGTTACTTAGTTCCATGAAAATTCTACTTACTGAAACCATGAAATAAGGATCTTGGAATTTTAATTGAATGTTCTTTTTATGTAGTTTTCAAAATTTGTCATCTTTTAGAATATTTCCAAGATAAAATATTATCTTCCCTGTGAAAATTCCTAATTTTCTCTTATAATAGTCTAAAAGTCGGTGTTTTTCTGTTTTTTTCATGGGGCCACCTGCATTAGAATAAATCATAGGTCTTATATTTTTAATACAGATCTGGGGCCATACTCCCAATTATTCTTAGTTGGTCATTTTGAAATGAGACCTAGCTGATGTTTATACCCAGTAAAATCTAAGAACTTCTGTCTAGGACTTTATTCTTCTTGCCGTGAATACCTTAGGAAATAAAATAAATAAGTCCATGTAATATAACTAGATATTCTTGTTACTTTTCAAATAATATTTCACTTTTTCTTATCAGGCTTGTGACTAGTTTTAATAGCTGCCACCCTATGTCCAAAATAAGCCCTCTGGGGAAAATATTTTGTGGGGAAAATTTGTAATTGTGCTTTCCAAATTTAACAGTGGTATTTTGACAGAATAATTCTTGTAAGGAGTAATATCCTAACAGCTTTTAATATGAACGTTTCCATCGTTTATTTTAAAACTAGTACTTAAGGTAAGAATATATGAAAAGAGGCATTTAGATCACTCTTGAAGACAAGATTTTTGCCCTTTGCTTACTGTTAGGAAAGTCATGGCAGTAAATGATCTGGTGACAGTTATCATATCTTAAATTCCCCCCCCTTTTTCCCCCCCAGCTTTCAGTAAAAGTCTACCTATCTGGCCTATCTAGGGCGAGATTCTTGCTGGTCTTTGATTTGCAGTCTGCTGCTTATTTTCACAAGTTGTCTGTTTTATCTGACTTCATAAGTTAAGACCTCATTAAAATTAATTGTACTTAACAGCTTGTGAATATATTTCATTAGGAACTGATGCCTTGACTCAAGTTTGATTTCTGAAATTGAAGACAAGCAAGTCAGGAGAAACACATTTAAAGCAAATTACTAAGGAAATTTTAAAATATGGGTTTAAGGGTTTAATACAGAAGGATAGATCTAAGTTTAAGTTCCAGAACCATCATTTAACAGCTTTGAGTGGGCTTCCCTGGTGGCGCAGTGGTTGGGAGTCCGCCTGCTGATGCAGGGGACACGGGTTCGTGCCCCGGTCCGGGAGGATCCCACGTGCCGCAGAGCGGCTGGGCCCATGAGCCATGGCCGCTGGGCCTGCGCGTCTGGAGCCTGTGCTCCACAATGGGAGAGGCCACAGCAGTGAGAGGCCCAGGTACAGCAAAATAATTAATACATACATACATACATACATACATACATACATACATACATACATACATACTTTGAGGGCAGCCGATGTAATAATATCATGGGGAGTTTTTCCCAAAACCCAAATTCTCTGAATTGTTAAATGATGTTTGCAACTTCTGACTTCTCAGCAATAGTTAAAAAGGAAATAAAACTTTTGAGGCTGGAAAACAAGATCTGGTTATATTAGTAACTACTTAGTAAATATGTTAGTAAAATAGGTTAAAATTTTTTTAACTCAATTTTCGTGAAAAATAAGTAGTAATATTCTGATTCACATAATAAAAACAGTAAAGCTTTTAATGTTAAAGTATAGAAAGAATCAAATTCTGATACGTTTCACAAAATTATAAGTCAACAGAGTGTTCATCAAAAGTAAACCCTAGAGGTCATTTCACTCTGGTGACTGACTTTTATTTACACATCATCAGTAATATAAAATATTTTGATAAATTATTAGAAATCATGTGGGAAGGAAAGTTCAACGGCTTTGGTTTAATCATAGTATATTGTTTCTGTATCCAAACAAAACAAGAACTAAATACCATAATGCTGTGGGATAACTCATTATTTGAACTAAAGTAGATATGCCATGAATGATAACCAGAGAAAACATAGAGATTGATTTATTCTTCCAATTCTATTTATAAGACATATCTATGCAAATCACACTTAAAATTACAAAATTAAGCTACAAATATTTTGGAAGAGAAAATATGGGGGGAAAATATCCTAAGTACAGTAACAATTCATTTATGTCATCATTGACAGGTGACTAACTTGCATAAGTAAATTTTTCAGTTAACTGAAGCAAATCAGTTTAATCATTAATTTTTTTAACAGTTTTATAAGAAATATTCTAAAATATACTTTATACTTGTCCATGTTTTCTTTGTCATCTTTAAGAACATTACTTCCTATCATGGGGAGATAAACAGAACTTCACTTAGGGGCTACTGAGATATATAATGCCCCTTTACATGACCTTGTATTGCTGTGCTTTTTGAGTTATGTCTGTTTTTCACGGTTTCTCTATCTTCCCTTTAATCAACTGTCACTTTTTGCTGCTGTTTTGTGTGCCTGCCTTCCGCACTAGGCCCTAATTTGCTGCTTCTAATCTGCTGTGGACTGAGAAACCAGATTGCCAAGCTTGCTAGAATTGTGTCTAAAATAAGAGTAAGTAGACTGAACAAAGCTTAAGGGGCTTTTCTGTCAGTAAAGTGCATGGACTTTGTGGTACCTTTTTGTCTGCTTAGCATACTTTTGTTTGCCTCTTAGTTCTTTACTAAGAATTTGCTAAAAATAGCTGTTTGAATATGTGATTGCCATACATTTAAAGTATTAATTCAGTTTTTATATGGTGATGTTTCTAGGACTTTCCATTAATGAATTCAGTTATAAACGAAAATTTGACTATCATCTTTGTATAAATCATTGTGTATATTTTAGGGAAATGTTAAATATTCTGTTCTTGTTAAATGTTCTAGTATAGTATGCAGAGTTAAAACTTAGAGCACTATAAATGGACTTCAACTGTGTTCACCAAGATTTATATTCTAGAACTAATTGGTTTGAGACTAAACATGCCTGGCTAATTTAGTAAGAACTGCCTAACTGAATATTTGGGGAATGAGTCATTCTAGATATCCCAGTTTTCTATGGAGCTTAAACCTCTTTAAGCATTTAAAAATTTTGAAATAATTTCTGAAGGATCTTAGTTCCCTGACCAGGGATCAAACCTGTACCCCCTGCAGTGGAAGCACAGAGTCTTAACCACTGGACCGACAGGGAAGGCCCTGATGGAAGTGTTTTTAAAACTTACTATGTATTGCTGTCTTCTCAAACAATATATGAAATAAATTAGACGTCAAAATGATCATTACTAACAATAGTTTTACTGTAATAGACTAATTAGGCACTGAGAGTTATATGCCCCTTTACTAAATAACTCCATTCTGCTGTGCCTTTTTTGTTTTCTTTGTTTTCTAATTGTTCTGATTCCCCTAATTCATATTAGTGCTCACTGCAGTGTGCCTGTAGCAATAGACTTTCTCCACCTTCATAATGCTGCTTCTAGTCTGCTTCAGTTTTGGAAACCAGGTGACTAAGACAGCTAGCAGAATGTATAAATACAAAGTAAGAGTAAACTGACTCAGTGAAGACCTGAAAAACTGGATTATACTTAAGTGCGTGGATTTTGTGACATCTATTACTACCTATTTCATTGCTATCTTTAAAATAAGTGTACTAGATTAGATTCCTGTTCTCAAAATAGGAGAGCTGTTAGTGTACAAAAGGAACCATTTTGTTCCATACTTTACCTTCCATATATTTCAATCGTCTAATTTTTCGGCTCCAGTTAAAACCAGTCCACTCAAGTTAGCATTTTCTATAGTACTTTCTACTTGAGTTGGATGCCACATGCTGCTAAGAATTTCTTTGGCTGGATTGTTTTTGTTATGTTGGTTTTGTTTTTAGAGACCTGTATCTTCATTTCCAAAACATGAAGTAGGTTGAGCCCTGGAAAATAAGGAAACTTTTCATTATTGATACCATAGAGAACTGAGAAGTAATAAGGTTTTTAGACTGTAGACAATTATACACAAAGAATTTATTCTTTGATTATGCAGGTTTTTAAGACAATATCTTTATTTTCATTCAATTAAATGTGTATTAAAAGCTGGCCAAATGTTACAGTGTTAGATCTAATGATATTGACAGATACTTGAACGACTAAATTCCCACTGTCATTCTATATTTTGCATGTTTAAATGATAATTTAGTATGTTAATTAATCAAGCATGATGATTTTTCTCATAAAAAATAAACATTAAATTTGCATGTTATAATGATTGCAAGCAAAATTCAAATGTCTAGAAAGGGATATTTGTCTGGGATTAGCATTGAACAACTTGGTTTTACCAACAGGCTGATTGTGTTTTAGTAACCATATGTTGATTCATCCTTCCATCTAATTACAGGGTAATTAGTGAATCAGTCTACTTATTTTATGGCCATGCCTCAAAGGCAGCTTTCAGTTATTCATGCTACTAGAAGGGAATTATGATATAGTGTTCGTCAAAAAATAGATGATCCAAACCAGTTTCTTGAGTTGTGGCTGCTATTACAAAATAGCTATGAGGCCAAACTTGGTTTGGTGGTACAGGAGAAAAATTCTCTTTGAGTATGGTTGTGAGAGGAAAATGATTCTACTTAGTGTAATTGCTATAAACCAAAAAGAGGGATGAATTGATTCCAGAATTCATACATATAAAAGTTTAATGTGAATAAGGAGTTGATTTTATGGATATCCTAAAATGTGTGATAAATTAAAATACATATGATAGTGTTTTAAATGCTATAAATTTTAATATATTTTAACCTGTTAGCAATTAAATTAGTTTGCCTCATCCCTATTTACTGAATTTCATTTGGCATATATCAAACACGTTACTGCAGTAGGACAGTATTTAAGTTGTGTATGCTTTGGAATACACTGTTTTAAAAAGTGAATATATTCTATGAGATATTGTTGTACAAATACATTTTTCCTCTCATATTTTAAGAGTTTCTCAAGCTAAGGGATAATTTTACTATTTTGGACTTGACATTTTTCACTTTGTAGCATTTCTTAAAGGTTGGCTACCTACAAATTATTTTAGCATTGAATATATTTTTAAAAACTAAAGCATGTCTTTTATAAGTTTATTCTTGTATAATATTTCCTGAGAAATTACATATACTTTTTCCCCTCCCAAGTCAATCTGCATTAGCTCCATTTTTAAATCAAAGTATTTTCTGCAATTTATTTCACCAACCTGTACCTTCTTTTCATACCATGACTTAAATAATGCTCACTCAGGCACAGTACTAGCATCTGGCAATGTACAGAAAGCTCCAGATATGTTACTCCCATCACTTAAAGACTGGCTTATGGTTCTGGTACAGCCCTGGAGGTCCATATGAGTGAAAAGCCCAGAAGTC